GACCATTTTTTCAAAAACTTAAACCATTATCATTCACAAAGGACAAACAGAGCTCCCGTCTGATAAGTTTATTCCATTATCATTTCCAAATTCCATCCCTGCAAAAAGTCAAGTATTCATTTCTCCATGAACCATGGGTCTCAGCTCAGAATTGTAAAAAAGGAGGAACTTCCTGCGTGACTGCGACAGACGACCATTTTCGCGAGACACCCATTATTATTCTACTGTTCAACCCTAGAATGCTGAAATAAAAACCATCAATTTATCAAAGCAAGGTTATTTCTTACCAATTTGAGGGTTTGAAAGATAATTTCACGTAAAAGAGTCACTTACCAAATACTTACAATCTTGATTAAGTACAGAAAGTAGTGGATTAGAGGAGGAAATGGTAGCGGACATCAGTTAAATAGTGGAATATTGAGACCCATGATGAATGTACAGAAGAGTACCTTTCTTCAGGATACAGATAACAAAATTTTGTTTGGCAAAGCCAGGTATCACTTTTCCATTTAAGTCCAAGACCTTATTGCTAGACTAAGATGGATGCCTCTTACACACAATGAAGAGACAAAAGAAAAGCTATAAATTTAATCTACTGTCACTTACCGTGTGAATTAGTAGCACACAGTACTACACATCTGAGTGATGACCTAGATTCACTGTGCAACTGGCTACATTTTCAGGGTCGAACTTTTTGTCCGAGCTGGGAATCATGGAACGAACTCTTGACTCTCTGTCAAAATAAACAAATGTGTAAGCCAAGTTTTGTCCAAAGACTTGACTATCAAAAACCTAACCACGATTCGATGGGTTTTTGAACACATTTAAAGGGAATAAATTTAAAAATGGAACAAACTCTCTGTGAATCCGAAGTTGGAATTAGAACATTTCATACATTTTTTTTTTTCAGCCTAAAATTCTGTCATGATGTCCTACTTCGGAAGAGACAGAAGAAAGGAGAGGAAGCAAAAAAAAAATTGTTTAATACCAGAAGTTGATTTCTTTATTTTTAAAAACAAGGAGAAAGGAAAGAGGTTGGGAAAAAATGTCACAGGTTGTCAGTCACAAGACTTGAGTCACTGAGGAATCATGTGAAGTGAATTTTATCAAAGCTGTATGTAAATGCGTCTGTTTCAAAGATATTTCCCTTTATAAATTCAACCAATCTACATGCAAGTTTTACCCCGGTAGCCTACAACAGCTGGAGTCTGGGGTGACATGTGGACAAACACAGTCACGTCTTCCTCAGTCTTTTTTTAGTTTTAGTTTTAGTAAGAGTTCTACGGCACTTGCAACACAATAAGGTCATATATAAATGCCGAAGATTAGAGGTGTTACAATAGAGTAACAAACACAAAAAGAAGCAGGGGAGATAACGACGATAGATGTTCGATAGCAAAGAAAAAGCAAACCACACAGAGCACCCGCCAACCACCCACTTCCTCAGTCTGCAGGTGAAATAGTCTCACTATACAGTCAAACCTGCCCTGACGGCCACCTCTATAAGACGGCCACCTGTACAAACGGACACTTTCCATTTCCCCCCTTGCGTTTTTTCTAGATAATTTAACTGTGTAAAACGGGCACCTGTCCTACACGGCCGCGACAACCATATTTCAACACACAACTCCTATCACAAAAAGCAATAACACCTGTCTTAGACGGCCACCTTAGTGACTCCATTACGCTTTGTCGTAAATCAAGCATTGGCCCCTAGCGTTGTGGTCGAGTCATCATAACCTAAAATCCTGTCGTTGTTAGGTAGTCCCTCCAACTGATCATGTTGCGTAGGCCCCTCCCACTGTTGACCAATAGGTAACAAAATCAATTTTCAGCTGCTGGTAAGGTAAGCGTGTGATCCCTCATAACCCTTAAGCCCCGCCCAGAACCCATACACAAATCGTAAGTGCGATGAAGGCGTCGCTCGTTCTCCGTTAGTTTTACCATAGCACTTGGTCCCCCTTGTCTGACACATTTCGTTTTATTGTCACCCGTGTGCAAAAGCAGCAACAAAGGGAAAAAAAAACCCAGCGAAAACAACAACAACAACAAAAATAACAACAACAATGCAACTACCTTCGGTTGGGACCTCAGAAAGGAAGGGTTTGTTTTCTCAGAAAGGAATGGTTTGTTTTCTTCATCTTGATCAGTCCTGCCTAAAACGGCCACCTGTCTTATACGGCCATTTTTCTCCTTGACAATGGGTGGCCGTCTTACACAGGTTCGACTGTATTTTATTAGTGAAAATAGATTTACCAAAGGAAAGAGTGAACATGTTACATCAAAGACACCCCCAAATTCTTTGAAGAAACTAAAACCAACATACCTTTACACCCCAATAAGTCCATAGCAATGGACTTACAGAGACAGTCTAACCATGCTCATCAAAATGAGAGCCTTAATCGTGTTGCGAGTATCCTAGCATTTAAGTGGCAGGATAGAATAAAAAATTAAGAGCTGTGGGAAATGACAGGACAAAAGAATATAGAAGTAGAAATAGGACTAAAAACGTGGCGATGGATGGGACACGCCTTCAGAAAGCCCGGCGGAAACATCACAAGACAGTCGCTGCAGTGGAACCCATAGGGAGCACGAGGCAGGGGTAGGCCACGGGAATCATGGAGATGTGTGGAGAGGGACATGAGAGTGAGAGAGATGAAGCTCACTTGGAATGAGCTAGGAAGGATGGCCCAGGACAGAGCTTGTACTATGTGGCCTATAAATACCCTGCCACGGGTGAAAGGCATTGATGATAATGATGTAATCGTGTCGCAAAAAATACAGTTCAGCAGCAAGGAAACAAGTACAGGACCTGATTTTCGTGTAAGAAAAGATTTTGAAAACCATACGCAAATCAAGTTCCAAATTCGCAGTTTACAACAGCAGACATGTTTACAAAATAACTTACTGACAGAGGGCCAACTAAACTTACCCTAGAGGCAAATCCAAAATCAAAAGTACTGTAATAATGTGTTATTGGCGAACATTTGGTCTAATAATTTACGCACCTAAAATGCACTTTTACCAAAAAACTACTTGTAAAGTCTACAAGTTCAGAACTACAATTGCAAACTATCAGACTTGAAATTTATAAAAAAGTCTTAGATACTGGAACTGTCACTTGCACAAGCTGATAGCTAGAGAACGACAACAAATCATTTCATCATTGTGGCCTATACAGCCATCTTGTTGGGATAACTTCCGTAATGACCGACCACTATGAGACAGAGTAGAATAGAGGGTTAGGGTTCTAAAGGACTTGGGTTAAGGCTAGGGGTAGGGATTGTTGTAGGGGTAGGGTTAGAGTTTAGGTTTCTAGACTTGAGGGTAGGGTCAGGGTTAGGCTTTGGGTTAGGGTCAGGAATAGGTCTCTTCTTTATGGAAGTCCTTCCATCTTGTTTGACCTCGCAAGGGGGATGCCCGCTTCGTCATCTGATAGTGATTCTAAAAAATAGTGATGATTTTGCTTAGCACGCGGTTTGCACTGGCAGTTTCCAAGCTCTTTCCCCTTATCACGATCTAGATCTAGTTCTACTTTAGCTCAGCATCCTATAGAGTCCAATCTCTTGTAAGTGCTTACTTTCTTGCTTGCAAAACTTTAAAAGAAACGATCCAGATCGAAATGGTCAATCATTTGCACTGAATTTGTTTGAACTAGCTTTCGTATCCAAATTGACGTACACAGGCCTACTCTAAAGTCTTCTTCTTCTTCTCAGTTTATGTAGTGTACAGCATCAGAATCAATCTCGGTGGAGGAAGGGCGCTGCACAATCACAGACAACCCAACCAAACAGTTGTGCAAGTTGCAAAGAAAATAGATCTAGAATCTAGAACTCTAGATCTAGATCTCATCCGAGTCGACAGACTGCCGTCGTGCTGTCGTGTTGCCACCATGTCTGACTAGATAAGTGGGAATCAATGAATGACGTCAAACAAGATGGCTGTTACTACTATAATATATAAACATCGGCCAATGGCGTTTAGTCATCGCTCTCTAGCTATCCGCTTGTGTCACTTGCTGCAGCAACCACAGACCAGACTTCCCTTTTCCAGAGCAGGAGACAAAAGACAAAGACCAACCCAACAGTACTCACACGGGAAGACCCACTGTGGCCTACATCAATGGAAGCAACGTCAGATGTCAAAAGATGCAAGATATAGATCTAGATTTCTAGATCTAGATTTCTAGATCCTAGAAAATGTTCCAATCAAAAACCGAAGTCCACCAACTTCACCAAGCCGTCCAAAAGCTCAAAGCAAAACGCCCTGCTGATTTTAATTTCAGAAACAGTACAGACTTCTTTGGCGACTTTGGGTCTTGTTGAGGATGCGAAAAGTGTCCAGTACCTTATAAGTTAAAAGCATAACCTAAATATGATCCTTCATATATCATCAATAAGAAGGGTATGACTAGGCCTATGCATGGTGTAACGGTAGTCTAACCTGAAATTACGTTTGTTCCCACACAGGACAGTGAACTTTCGTCTCAGCGATAACAATAACAGTACAGTATCAGTACAAAGTAGACACAGGTTAACAGAGCTATCAGGTAAGAGTGATCTCGCCTGTCAGAATTATGCCAAATCGACTTAGTAGTACTTTTAATCCAAATGGAGTGAGAAATATTGATTTCATACTTTAAAGTAGTCTATAAAGGAGAACAAAATCTGCCATATTTGTGTTTAGAGGAATAGTATTTTGTGCAGGCATTGATTTGATAGATTTCGTGTAACATCTGAAAATATACATGGCTGCTGGTTGTGGCTAGTACCATTAGATCTAGCCAGCCGTTAGGCCTAAAACTCAGTAAATTCTGGCATATGAAAATTCGGTTTTTCGTTTACGGAAGTGACCGTCGTCTTTGATTCACTGAAGTACTGAAGTCTACTGCTTTCTTATATTTGAAACTATATTTTAAAATCAATTTGTTTCCTTATTGGTTCAGTTTGGTCTACTGAAGGAATCTTTTATTTCGACTGTTGAAAAATCCAGTAGTCTAGTTACTCCAGAAATTTAATATGGGTGAGTATTTTGAGTACGTTTATAACTGACTGTTGTACTGAGGGTTTTTTTTGTCTTTCTTCTTTGTTTACAAAAACGAAGTGGCTAGCCGTACTTAACCCTTAAGATTCTGGTCCCTGATAAATGTTTGCCCGATAAGCGCAATCCCGCGCAGCGCTCCACAGCTGGTCCCTGATCAGTCGTTGTCCCGCGCGGGCAACGCATTTCGTTTACGGCGGAGTCTGCATCTGTGTGCTAAAATGTGTGTGCATCAATCTGCTTGTGCCTGAGTGTCCATCTCAAACTTACTGCATTGTTTTGCAACGCGAGGCGTTGGTAGAGACAACAGAGCGTCGGTTGAGACATTCATCCAATGAAATATGAGCATTTTGGCCCAGTTAGACACTTGAGGGACTCGAAAGGATATTCAAGAAATAAGACTTTCATCTTTCAATGCAAACACCTTTCCTCACTTTTCAAACGATCTAATTCTTACACCAAACGTTGTTTCCTGATGTAAATAATCATATTTGGTGGTTTTTTAACCATTGTCCTACCAGAGGGAGACATTTGAGAGCAACTGAATAAAAAAAATATTCGGAAATTATCCCATTTTTTTCCCCTTTCGAACGATAGCTGATAAGCAGCTGTTCGCAAGTTCATTCATAATAGGTGTGAAATCTGGAAAACTCTGGAAAAGTTATTCGATTTGGTGTAACTTCCAACCTCAGCGTCTCTGATCTACCGACGAGGGGATAATGGGATTATTCGTGTGATCGTAACCCTTATTCATTGGTCGTATCAGTTTGCTATAAAAGATGGTGTTTCCCTGACCTGCCGCGGCACGCTCGCGTGACCAGTGCCTGACCCCGGCGCCCCGCGGCACAAGCCCGCAGGCGACGTACGTGGGTCATCGATCGATAAGATCCCTCTTCCGGTTAACCCCGCAGGACTAGAGTTAAGTACGGCTAGCCTGACAGTCTAGCCGTCCTTAAGTACGGCTAGCCTGGCTGTCTACCCGTACTTAAGTACGACTAGACAAGAAGTCTAGCTGTACTTAAGTACGGCTAGACTGCCAGTCTAGCCGTACTTATCTTAGGCCCTATTAACATTAGAAAACAGGAGGTTTAAAATACATGCACTGTCATTAAGGCACCTGGTTTCGTCTCAAACAAATACTTTAGGTACTGTACACTAAAAATGTATATATTTACAATTCAGTAGGCCTATTTTTTGTAAATGGTCAGTCTAGCCATCATATTAAGAATAAGTACGGCTAGACTACAAGATTAGATCGATCAACTTATCATACAGTATACAGGTGTGGTGGTGGTGACCATAAAAACACAACAGTCCTGGTGCCAGATAAGGACTCAATAGAATGGTCGAACACAAAATGAGAATAAACATCTGCTTTCCTTTTGAAAAAAAAAGGATGGTGATCTGAAGATATAAATTTAGGCCGTCATTATTTGGACTCGAGTCCGAATAACATTTTTTCATATTCGGACTCGAGTCCGAATTTTTAAAAATCTTATTCGGACTCGAGTCCGAATATGGAAAAATGTTATTCAGACTCGGGTCCGGAAAAAAGGAAGTGTATTCGTTCTATAGATCTAGGCAGATCTATCGTTCAGTGCTTCCAATGTTCCGCCATTTTTTAGTTTCCCCCACACCTTTTCTGCCGATCCAACGCCCGCCGCCTCATTGATACGCCCACCCCCCATGTTTCCCACTTTCTTTGTTGTAGAAAAAGGTAAAATTGAAGATTAGCAGACCACCTGGCACCTGCATATTATGAGCTGTGTAAAAAAAAAAAGACCGATTCGTTCAAATACACAAGCCTGTGTCATCACGATTGTTTACCAAGAAAAAGTTGTGTTGCTGTGTAGAGCTGAGCATACGGCAACTCTTTATTCCATAGACCAGCGCACAATTCATACGTAGATCTACGTCAAGACTAGCCTTATTATTGTAATAATGATCAGTTGCCGGGGGGGGGGGGGGAGGGGAGACTGGCGCGTATGCGACGTTCTACACCCGGACCGATAGTGCCCCCCCCCCTCCCCGACACGCACACACAGCCGCACGTGTGCAGGCCGCCCATCCGACCCCGACACATGCTAACGAGCCATCTTTAATTGCTTCTGGTGACCTCTTGACAAATAAACATTTATTAGAAGCGCTATAACTTTTCAGGCCGGCCTCAAATTCATCATAAAATAAAAACTTGGCTCCTGCACAATTTAACGCCATTTTGCCCGAAGTGATCCCGGTCTCTACCCAGCCTGAGGCAAGTCACGAGTGAGGCAGGACAGGAAGCTGGAGTCACAAGTCATGCTGGGCAAGAATCAGAGTCCGAATAACATTTTTTCATATTCAGACTCTAGTCCGAATAGTCACTTCGATAAATTTAACCTCTGTATGGATTGAATTATCTAATGGAAGTTGTTAGGCACGCGTACGCCTGCATAACACTGGATTGTTAGGGGCAAGTATTTTCAAAGTCAAGGCCGTTCGGTGTTCCCAAAAGTCGAGACGTTCGGCGGTTCGTTTCCCATTCATTTCACCAGCGTGCTTGGTCAAGCAAAGGTGGATTGGGATTGAGACTTGAGACTCGTAAACTTGTGACTTGATCTAATATCTCTATCTATTCTAAATTTTCTAGATATCTCTGTTTGTCGGAAGGGAGGGAGAGAGAGTGTATTTCTGAATGAAAAAAGACAGATACAGAGAGGAAAAGAGTGTGTGTGTGTGTGTTTCACAGAGCGCGCGAGCGCACAAACACACACACACACACACACACACATACAGAGAGATGGAGAGAGAAAGAGAGTGTGTGTGACAAGTGAGAGAGAGAGAGAAATGACAGAGAGAGCGAGAGAGTGATGACAGGGAGAGCGAGAGAGATGAGAGAGAGAGGGAGGGAGGGAGGGAGAGTGTGTTTCTGAATGAAAAAAAGACAGATACAGAGAAGAAAAGAATGTGTGTGTGTGTGTGTGTTTGACAGAGCGCGCGAACGCTCAAACACACACACACACACACACAGAGAGATGGAGAGAGAAAGAGAGAGAGTGTGTGTGACTAGTGAGAGAGAGAGAGGGGGGGGAGAGAGAGAGTGTGTGTGTTTCTGAATGAAAAAAGATAGATACAGAGAGGAAAAGACTGTGTGTGTGTCTGTGTGCGTGTGAGAGAGAAATGACACAGACAGAGCGAGAGAGGGATGACAGGGAGAGATCGAGAGAGAGAGAGAGAGAGAGAAAATGACACAGGGAGAGCGAGAGAAAGATGACAGGAGAGATCGGGAGAGATGACAGTTAGAGATGAGAGAGAGACAGAGAGAGAGATGGAGAGTGTGTGTTTCTGAATGAAAAAAGACAGATACGGAGAGAAAATGAATTTGTATGTGTGTGTGTGTGTGTGTGTGTGGACAGAGAAAGAGAGAAAGTGTGTGTGACTAATGTTAGAGAGAGAGAGATGAAACAGAGAGCGAGAGAGAGATGACAGGGAGAGAACGAGAGAGAGAGTGTGTGGGACTTGTGTGAGAGAGAGAGAGAGAGAGATGACACAGAGAGAGCAAGAGAGATGACACAGAGAGAGTGAGAGAGATGACAGGTTGAGAGCGAGAGAGAGAGATGACACAGAGAGAGAGAAAGAGAAAGAGAGAGAGTGTGTGGGACTAGTGTGAGAGAGAGAGAAAAACAGAGAGAGTGTGTGGGACTTGTGTGAGAGAGGGAGGGAGAGAAATGACACAGAGAGGGCAAGAGAGAGAGATAACAATTCTTATTGTATTAACAAACGCCTCACCTCCTCTCTCTCTCCCTCTTTCTTTCTTTCTTTCTACCCCCCATCCCCCCTCCTCTTTGTCTCCCCTCTTCTCTCTATTCCCCCCCCCTCTCTCTCTCTGTTTTTACCCCATTCTCTCTCTCTTTACCCCTCTCT